GGAATTTTGTTACTTTCTGGGCTGTACAGGCCCAACATGTATCCCCTCCTGTCTTTTTGGATGTCATTAAATCGTTTTTTAAAAATAAGTTGGTACTGATAATTTTGGGAATAAATCCAGGGATGGGCTTCATATTCAGTGAAAGATCTCTGGCTGAATGTGTCAAAGTATCCAAGCTTTTGGATTGCATATCCTGGAAGTAAAATGGATAGTCAGCTGATACTGACCTATTAGACTTGTCCCTAGTTATTACTATATATTTATTTTACCATTTTATATGGATAGCAACCTCCCTAGCCTGGCAACAAAGATGTGCTGTATAACTTTCCTCCCACCCACTTGCATAAAGAACAATTATAATAGTCAGCCTATAGTTGTAGGTTGACTATGCTTGTCAACCAACAAAAAAAGCCCTTAGTTTTTCAGGGGTAAAGACTGCTGCCACAATTGTGTCTAGCTAGCATAAGTTAAAAGTAAAATAGAGGTTCCTTGACCAAAAATGGGAAGGCTTCCAGCCTGACATGTTTAACGGTAGAGGTAGGGGGTGGGGAGATGGCAGAGCACTTTGCTGGAAGCAGATTTAAAAGGCCTCATTGAAACTTTCACAGCATGGAGCTTTAGTGTAATGAAAACTGTGTTTGTGTTTCTCTTGTTCCCCAGGCTAATCTAATACTGTTGCTGGGGTTTCTGAACTCAGTCTGCAAGCTACAGACCACTTTGCAAATGCAGAGAACTACAGGGCCATTTTGAACATCTTCCCTTTCCCCCTTTCTCCCCTCTGTATTATTACCGTTTGGGGTGTGTATATATTTTTTTCATCCGTGCAGTAAAATTGCTTATATTCTAGCAATGTCTCTTGTCTTTGGCCTCTTTAATTCTTGGTAGTTTTTAGAAGAGTGCATTGCTACTTCTCCTTTGCCTTCCCAGATCCACAATGAAAGTGACCTGGAGCCACCATCCCTTTTAGACTGTGCCTCATTTTCTTGGAGAGTTTTCCAACTAGGATAAGAGGGCTTTAGCAAGCCTTGCCAGGTAGTTGACTTGTGCATTTTTGAAGCCAGCCATTATTGTGATTGGGACACAGTTTTATGCCAGGAAAATATACTAAAGGCATTTGTAACATGGGGCTTCTCCAGTTATCTCCATGTCCAGAAAAGGAACTTTACTGCCAGTTGCTTGGAACTAAGAAAAGCCCCTTTACTAGGCTGACAGTGGGTGGTAAGGGAAGGGGTGGAGTGAGGAGGTGGATGCATTTTCGAACTCTTAGATGGGTATGTATGTGCCTTCACCAAACAAGCATGTTAGTTTCAATCTTCAGAGCTGTTCTGAGAAAACTAGAAATCTAAATAATAATAATAATAATAATAATAATAATAATAATAATAATAATAATAATAATAATAATTTTTATTTATAGCCTGTCTCTCTGCCCAACAATCGAGGCGGGTTACAGCATTAAAACAAGACAAAATTAAAAGCGTCCCCAATCCCCTAGTCCCAGCCTCCCAACCCCTTAAAACAGGATTAAACAAGGAAGGATTAAAATGCCTTAAGCAATAAAAAACAATAAAACCAATACAAAGGAATCACACGCGGTGAGCAAATTAGTTAACTGAAAAACTCATCTCCCAGGGCAGATATATTCCGGAAAGTGTTATTGTGCATTATATTGTGCATTAGGGAAAGCAGGCATGTAATCCAAGGTGTCCAGGGCTGATTCTCTAGCCACTGGGAGACTGCTTTGAGGCTTTAGGAACCTGAGGTCCACACTCATGCTGATCCCTGCAGTCAATAAGACAGAAGAAGAACCCATTGGTACCAGATCAAAGGTATACCTGTCTAGTCTAACATTCTCCTTCCACAGTGGCTGTTACGGGCAAAATAAATTGCACAGAGTATAGGTGATACCAGTACAAGCTAAACACAGAATAGAAAAGCAGAATCTTAAGAGTTCGAAGGGACCCAAGAGCTACTTTGTCCAACTCCTGTCATGCAGGAATACACAGCTAAAGCACTCCTAAAAGATGCCTGTCCAACCTCAATGTAAAGACTTTCAAAGGAGAGTCTACTATCCTCCAAAGCAGGGGTCCCCAAACTACGGCTGCAGGCTGGCCCCGGCCCATTGAGGCCTTCTTACTGGCCTCGTGAGGCCTCCTGCCGTCGTACACAATTTTGGATTCCAAAATGGCGCCCGGAGCCGTGTGCATGCGCGTGCAATTTCGGGCACCATTTTGTGTACCAAAATGGCGCCTGGAGTCGTGTGCATGCACGATTGATGCCGCACGCATGTGCACGACTCCGGGCGCCATTTTGGCATACAAAATGGCGCTGGAGTAGTGTGCATGCGTGCGCGCCTCTGGCCCCCTGGAAGATCTCAGGGCTAGCGAACCAGCCCCTGGATCAAAAAGTCCGCGGACCCCTGCTCCAAAGCAATCCATTCCTTTATCCAACAGCTCTTGCAGTCAACAGGTTCTTCCTAATATTTAGTTGAGATCTCATTTCTAGTAACTTGGATTCATTGGTTTGTGTTCTAGTCTCGGAGTAAAAGAAAACATGCTTGTTCCAACTTCTACATGACATCCCTTCAGGTAATTAAAGATAGCTATCATGTTATCTCATTCCTCTCTTCTGTAAGTTTAAACATACTCAGCTCCCTAAGTTGTTACTGATAAGGCTTGGGCTGCATCTACATTGCATAATTAATGCAGTCTGACACCACTTTAACTGCTGTGACTCCATGCTATGGAATTCTGGGGTTTGTAGTTTTGTGAGATATTTTCTCTGCCAGAGAACTCTGGTGCCAAAACAAACTGCAAATCCCAGGACTCCATAGGATGGAGCCATGACAGTTAAAGTGGTGTCACACTGTATTCTTCAGTGTGGAAGCAGCCTTGGTGTCCAGACATTTGATCATCTTGATTACCCCTTTTCTGGGCATGTGCCAGCTTTTCGATATCTTTCTTGAACTGTGTTACCTAGAACTTGGCACAGTGTTCCAGATGACATCTAACCAAGGCAGACTAGAGCAGCACTACAGATTCCTATTGGTGCAGCCTAGAATTGCATTGGGGTTTTTGGGCCACTGCATTGCACTGTTGACTAATATTAAGTTTGTGGTCTACTAATACCCCTAGGTCCTTTTCACATCTCCTGCTTTCAAGCCACTATGGTTTAGTGGCTTGAGCACTGAACTCTGGAGACTAGGGTTTGAGTCCCTGTTCAGCTATGGAAACCCACTGGGCAAGTCATACTCTCTCAGCCTCAAGGGAAGGCAAAGGCAATTCCCCTCTGAAGAGAATTTGTCAAGAAAACCTTGTTTGCCTAAGGTTTGCCTTAGGATCGCCATGAGTCGGAAACGAATTGAAGGCACACAACAAAAGCTAGCTTTCAAGCCATCTGTCACCCATTCTACATTTGTGCATTTCATGTTGATATGAGTCAACAGTGTTATGTAGTGGCCAAAAATCGTTTTTAATCAGATCTTTTGGGACTGCTTTACTTGTGTAATCCTGCATGGCAGGAGATTTGAGTAGATGGCTCTTGCAGTGCATTCCAACTCTCTGATTCTGTGTCTGTAGCAAACCTTTAAATCCGGATGTGATCCCAACAGCGACATCACCCTTCTGCTTCATTTCCCCAGTATATCTGGCATTGGGAGACATGTCTGATTTTGGGAGACTAGTAATGACTAGTATCCATTGATAGCCTTATCCTCTATAAATTTGCCTTATTTCTGACATGTAAGTCTGATAAATAAAGCACTAAGTTATTTTTACAACAATCAGCTTGTCACTAGTGGTGACATCAGTGTCATGATGCCCTGGGTTTTAGAGCTATTTGTGTTTTCTGAGCCTAAGGATTAAATTTTGGCCTCCCAGTGCCATCCTTTCACTCTTATTTTGAAAACGAAGCTGAAGCTAATGGAGGAACATGATCTCCTTATTGCATGCAACTTGTTAGAGGAGCCAATGCAAAGCAAGACATAACATATGCAGTAGTACTTACATTAAAGAAAGATCCCTCTCCTAGTTTTTAGGGGGTCTGATTGTTGCAGAGAAATTGTGGCTTGTGGCTGGGACAAGACAGGAGCAGAGCACTCTGCTGCTTGTAGCGTAGCCTCCTTACTGTATATATGATTGAAATCCCCCTGAACCTTATATAAAGGATCAGAAGGACAGCCCTCCTGCTCTAAAGCCTTACAGCTCAGTATACAATGGTGCACCAAGAATAATTGGCAAAAATGGAGAAGGAGATGGGGGAAAATGAAGCTGAATATAAATGAATAAGTGAAAATACAACTGGAGCTTGTTTCACACAACACAATTATAGCACTTTGACCCCCAACTTAACTGCCATGGCTCCATCCTGTGAAATCCTGAGATTAGTAGTTCTTCATGGCATTTAGAATTCTATGCCAGTGAGCTCTAGTAATCCACAAAACCATGTACAGTCGGCCCTCCACATTTGATGTATGTGGACTTGATTGTTTATGGATTTGATTAATGTGTTTTTTCTGGGAACATCTAGGTCCTCCAGCACGACTCTGTGGCCAACTTCCCCCGGAAGTCATGTTGGAAGATCTAGGGACTTCTGTAGGCATTTGTAGGTCCCCCAGCACAATTCTGTGGTCAACTTCCAGCAGATGTTGACCATAGATTGGCACTGGAGGACCAGAGATTGACCATAGATTTGCACTGGAGGACCTGGAGATTCCTAGAGAAGTATTCTTTCAGGTAAATAAAATAAAATGTTTTTTATTTGTGTTTTTTCCATTTTCATGGGACGCCTGTGCCCCTAACCCCAGTGAATGTGGAGGGTCAACTGTATTTCAGGAGGAATAAGTCATGGTCTACACCAGGGGTAGGCAACCTTTCCCCTTTAAGGGCCGAGGGACTTCAGCTCCCAGAATCCCAGGAGCTATTGGCCAACATGGGACTATTGGCCAACATGGCTGAGGCTTCTGGGAGCTGAAGTCCCTCGGCCCTTAAAGGGGAAAGGTTGCCTACCCCTGGTCTAGTGGTTTGAGTGTAGGACTAAGACTCTGGAGACCAGGGTTCGATTCCCAGTTCGGCTGTGAAACCCACTGGGTGACCTTGGGCAAGTCACATGCTCTCAGCTTCAGGGGAAGGCAATGGCAAACCCCCTCTGAACAAATCCTGCCAAGAAAACCCCATGATAGGGTCGTCATAAGTTGGAAACAATTTGAAGGCACACACCAGCAGCAATATGTTCCATAAGAAGTGACTGAGACTCTTAAAGTGCAGTCAAAGAGCTATAATTGTGCAGTGTGGAAAGGATATAGGTTGGATGGTCCTAGACAAGAAGGAAAAGGCCAGTCCTAAGCAGGCAACTGGAAAGAGCTGAATGGTGTCTCCTTCTCTTGGTTTGCCAGAGGGGAAGCCTTGCTTCTAGGTTTCTCGATCATGTCTTTCACCAGCTACTGCATATTTTGATGAGATGAGCTTTTGTCCTAGCAGTGCCTTTAAAAGCAATACCAAGGTTGCCTTTTAAGGAAAAACACCCACAGCTTCTTCCCTTCTTTGTTATCTCTAGCAAAACCACCTCTGGCTATTTTGTCTCCCTGTGATCTTTGCTCTGTTAAAAGGTGGAGAGTTCCCACCTAAGAGGTACTTTTAGTGTGTGTACAGTAGTTTCTTCTTGATGCTGCAAGACCACTGGCGTACTTTATGCACACTCGATAACATCAAAAGTCCACCAAACAGTGATGCCTTTATTGGCCAACCAAAATGCACAATATACATGTTGCAAGCTTTTGAAGCTCCACTGGCTTCTTCATCAGGTAAGATGTTACAAACCATACGAGAACCAAAAGTTGAAGATGTTAATCATCGTCGGCTACTGCTCCCAGATTATAGAATGGCCTGCCGGATGAGGTCCGTTATATTACCACCGACAGCTTTAAAAATTCTGTTAAGACGGATCTCTTCCGGCAGGCCTTTCCCAAATAGATATCCCGGCCATCAAAAACAGCCATCCTGCTCATCCCTGATTTGGCTGTAGTTTTTATTATTTGTTTTCCATGTTTGTGTTATTATTTTAAATGCATTTTAAATCACTACTATTTAATTTTATTTTAAGGGGGGGTTGGATTGTGGGATATAGATGTATATTTTAATGTTGTAAGCCTCCCTGGTTGCACTATACAGAGGGGCGGGATAAAAATTATTATTATTATTATTATTATTATTATTATTATTATTATTATTAATCATTTTGCTATTTCTGTTCTCAGTTCAGATGGTATGGAGCGGTATTGCTTGCAGGCTTGTACCTCCTCCTCTGGCTATATGGATAATGGGAGATTCTCAAAGTCCAGGAAATTTAAGATCCATTTGTAACAAAAAAAGGATACTTCTTTGCAATCCAATATATCTCATAGAATCATAGAGTTGGAAGAGACCCCAAGGGCCATCCAGTCCAACCCCATTCTGCCATGCAGGAACTCAAAATCAAAGCATCCCTGACAGATGGCCATCCAGCCTCTGTTTAAAGACTTCCAAAGAAGGAGACTCCACCAAAATCTCTGAGGGAGTGTGTTCCACTTTTGAACAGCTTTTATTCTCATTAAGTTCCTCCTAATGTTTATCTCGAATCTCTCTTGTGAGGCCACAGGCCCCTTTGTTAGACAGAGGACACTGGATTTCTTAAGAAGTCTTCATGCTTTTGCATCAGAAAAACTAGGTGGTGTTGAGGTAAAACATGCCAATCCAGTCCCAATTTTAGAAAAAAAAATTAACCTTTGTTGGAGGTAGAAATCTCAAATAGTAAGGTCCCAGTCTACTGGCTCTCTCTTTATAATTCCCTTGTTGTGACTATAATTCTATATCTTGAAATCCAGAGAACATCTAGGGGCAGCTGTGCTGGTCATATAGCAAATCTGTTAACATCACAAATCCACCAAACAGTGATGCCTTTATTGACCAACCAAAATGCACAATTTACATGTTGCAAGCTTTCATCAGGCCTGAAAGAGGAGGTGCCAGCCTGCAAGAAATACCCCGCCATACCATCTGAACTGAGAACAGAAACAGCAAAATGCAGGCCTATGACTAACATCTGTAGGGTTTGTAACACCTTGCCTGATGAAGAAGCTAGTGGAGCTTCAAAAGCTTGCAACATGTATATTGTTCATTTTTGGTTGGCCAATAAAGGTATGACGGTTTGGTGGATTTTTGATGTTATTGGATTTGCTATATGGCCAACATGGCTACCCCTGGATGTTTTTTGCACACTATGTAGGGAACACTGCAGGAACCTAAAAGGAACTTTTCTTTAAAACACAATCTCCGTTTTGGAGGTGGAGCATTCTCCGTCCTGATCCAGGTAACCTCTCCTGTGTGTATGTTCTCTGGCATTTGTGGGAATTGCTTCCAGCTCCGTGGTAGCTGTCATGTTGCTTGCCCAGACTGTACCTCTGCTGTTTCAGAGCCTGAGCATGTAGCAAACCTTTCGATTATGAAATTTGCTGATAGGGATTTGGAAGAGTATTCTACTACATTTTGCAGGATTATGAGTATCATGACCTTCTGCCAAATTTTTTTTTTAAGTGCTGCTCTTCTTCCCTTACCCCTCACCCACCTGGGGCCTTTAATTTGTACATTCCCAATGCAAAGTACATGTCTGCTTTCCTGCTCAAAAACCCAGATATAATGAAAGAGAGGCTGAATTCATCAGTTAGCAGAGATTGTCTGAGAGCGAAAGCTGAGGTCTGATATTTGGCCAAGCCCAAGAGAAGCCAGAAACATACCAGGCAAAATGTCATCTGGACTGTTAAAAGATGGTGATGTATCTGGGCAGGGTGAATCGTGCCCCTCCTTCATTGGTTTTCAGACTTTCCCGTCTTCAAGGAATCCTCCCCATAATGTGTCAAAGGGTAATGTTTAACAGGAATGGGTTTGGGGATTATTTATTTATTTATTTATTTAGGGAGCGAGAGGATATTTAGAGACAGAAAATGTGGCAAGCTTTTCCCTCTACATCCTTTCTAAAAACCTTTGTCCAGTGAATCCTGAAGAAAGCTGAAGGACTCCGTTTTATTTAGAACAGCTTAGAAAAATTACATTTTGGACTATGCCTCCAAGAATCTCTCAGCACCTTTCAAGCGCTGCTAGAAGTTATCTGGTAGACTATCTAGAACTGGTGTTTGTGACTTCAGCCATTCACCAAAAGGTTGTTCAGATGTTGTTGTTTTTAGCATGGCTATGTGAATAATCTCACTCATGCATTCTGGGTTTGTTGTTCATGCTATTTTTTTATCAGAAAGTTCTGTCGCTCCCATGTGTCAGCACTACGAATAAAGATGGAGTCGATGATGTGGATGTATTCGAAACACATCCAAGGCATCCAGAGTTTTATCCTGGGTTTATTTGCATTGGTTATTCATGCAGCTGACAATGCGAATCTTTTAGGAAAACTCAGGAGGAAAACCCAAGATTGATTATCCCGGGTTAAGTGGGCTTTTTGGCAGCCCCTCCCACCAAACTTAATGAAATGCATTCGAAATGCATGTGAACAACAAAGATTAACAAAGATTCAACCCAGATTCTACTAGGTTTAGTTTGACTCTCTGAATAACTCCCTAGTATGTAAGGGATTAGAAGACTTTCTCGTTTATTTCTTGGGGGCTTAATTTGGCATTCAGGTGAACCTTCTGATTTGGTTCGGAGTCTTATACCTAGATCCTGTCATTCCTCCCCTCTCTCAATTATTTTAATTCTTCTTCTTGACTCCCATTCCAGGAAATGTCTGCCTATTGCTTGCAACAACTAGCCAGGGCTTCCTTGGGCAAACTGCCATGGCTTTGCCCTTCTCAGCTTCCGGCTCTGCCTTCTATGGACTGCTTTCTTGGAGTCTGATGCTAAATCCTAGGCTGTGTGATCAGATGACTTGGATGGCTTTATTCCTGAAACTGTTGTTGAGAAGGGAGGTTCTTGCTGACGTGGTTTGGCTCCCACATCTAGGCTGACACACCCGTGTAGGTTGTGGCCTCTTGTCTTGGCAGAAATAACTTTTCAACAGCAGCAGAAAACAACAACAGCAAATGAATCTCAAAAGGAGTCATTCCCCCCCCCCCCGGCTTTGACCAGGTGGAGTACTGTCAGTTAAGATGGGGACCTGGAAAGAGATGAATACAAGTCTCTGGCTTTTCTTCGCAAACGAAGATTCAGGAAGGACTCATCCCACGCTTTTTGCAAGCGCGCTGATGACTAAAAAGGCCAATCCAAGATAAACAAGTCCGGTTGCAGAAAGCACAGCATAAGATCTCCTTGGGTGATGTTTCCGGGTTGTGATTCTTTCTGTGTTGTCCTTTCTCTTCGAGACTTGCTCGGCTTGACATCTCAAATAAGGCTGCAGCATTGTGGATAGTGTGTCTCCATGCATCC